TTTAACCCACGCAGTGCTGTGCTGCACGGCTGGTGCTTCGCTGGTCTACTGGAAACACATCCTACATCCTTTGTTTTGTGTCAGTGGCAGCCTCTGAACACTGGAAAGGGTTATCCCTGACCCTTTCTTTTCCCTACTGGGGCCACACATTCCAGGTGCGAAGGAATGGACTGGATTAAGTAGAGTCCACATCCACTGTACTAGAAGGTAAGGATACTGAGATGAATAAACTGGGTTGCTACCTTGAAGGAGCCCATGGGTTGGTGAAAAAGGTAGATGAGGCTGGACGCAGTGGCTCACGCTTATAATCCCAGCACTCTGGGTGGCCGAGGCAGGTGGATTACCTGAGGTCGGGAGTTCGAGACCAGCCTGACCAACCTGGAGAAACCCGTCTCTACTAAAAATACAAAATTAGTCGGGGTGGTGGCACATGCCTGTAGACTCAGCCACTCGGGAGGCTGAGGCAGGAGAATCGCTTGAACCCAGGAGGTGGAGGTTGCAGTGAGCCGAGACCACACCATTGCTGAGATAGTGCCATTGCACTCCAGCTTGGGCAACAAGATTGAAACTCTGTCTCAAAAGAAAAGAAAAGAAAAGAAAAAGGTAGATGAGTAAACCAGCTGTTTCACTGCCGTGTGGGACTCAAGCTGCTTTGGGAGCACAGAAGGGATCATGTCCACAAAGATGTTCCTGATTAGAAAAAAGAAATCAAGGCCGGGCGTGGGCGCTCATGCCTGTAATCCCACCACTTTGGGAGGCCGAGGTGGGCAGATCATGAGGTCAGGAGTTGGAGACCTGTTTGAGACGTGGTGAAACCCCGTTTCCACTAAAAATACCAAAGTTAGCCAGGCATGGTGGTGTGTGTCTGTAATCCCAGCTAATCAGGAGGCTGAGGCAGGAGAATCACTTGAACCCAGGAGGCGGAGGTTGCAGTGAGCCGAGATCGTGCTACTGCACTCCAGCCTGGGCGACAGAGGGAGACTCCATCTCAAGAAAAAAAACGAAAGAAAGAAAGAAAAAAGAAAAAGAAAGAAAGAAAGAAGGAAAGAAGGAAAGAAGGAAGGAGGGAAACAAGGAAGGAAGGAAGGAGGAAATCAAAGTAGAGAATGAGGCAGCAATACCGAAACAGCAGTTCTTTCATGGGTGTAACTAATCAAGTAATAATTTAAAGAACTGTGAGTTTGCACAACACTTTACATGCATTCAAATGGATTGGATCCTCACACCAGCTATGAAAGAAAGGTAGCATTTATATTTATACGAGCCAATGTGTTTAGCATTCATTAATTGAGTGCCCACTGTGTGCTGGCACTGTGCTAGGCTCTGGGAGAGCTGTGAACAGAGCCAGCTGCCTGCACCTTGCCCTCTAGTAGGAGGTCAAGCCATCCTCAGTTGGTGTGACTTCTTTGTGATCATACAGCTAGTGAGGGAGGCAACAGCTGGTACTGGGCCTTCTGTGCAGTCGGCTTTTCCACCATTGAGAACACATTTTTCTGACACTTTTTCCAGCACCCCCAGATAACTCTGCTTGTTCTATTGGCAACAATGACACCAGCAAGCAGAGGTTGTCACTAGGCATGCAATAATGTGAGATTTCAGCAGTGCTTAAACTAGGGAACGTTTCGGATGCCAGAGCAATGGTGGACAGGAATGAAAGAGGTGGGGGAAATAAACCCCATGAAAGGAAAGAGGACATTTCCCCTTATACCCAGCTCATATTGAAAGTTTGGAAATGACTGAGTTAAGCCAGCCCACCATGTGCCTTAGTATAGCTTGTTCCATCTCTGGCTGTTGTCTGGCATTTTTTAACAATCATAGACATTTTCAGGATATATTAAGTCATTTTTATTTTGGTGTTTCATATATAGCCGAAGTTGGCAGGATTGGCTTACTTTGCCTTTATTGGAGCCCCACACAAAGTGGTGCACTGATAAATGTTTGTTCAACAACTGGCTTTCTAGGAAAAAAAAAGGCAAATACATAAGCACATACATTTGTCATAAATTTTACTGCTATAAAGTTGTGTAGCACACAATTCACAAATAAGTAGACAAGACTCTCGGTTGTAAATATTAATAGCCAATTGATTCTTACAAAAGACTTTTGTTGATTTCTGCTGAACTGTTGTATCCATAGTCAACCTGTGGTTGTAATTCAACCATGATTTGACAAAAATCAAGCTATGAACTAATGTTTGATTACTATACCATTCAGCAAAGTCACTCAAGGCATTAACAAATGACTATATTCTATTTTTTTTTTTTTTTGAGATGGAGTCTTGTCTTGTCACCCAGACTGGAGTGCAGTGGCGTGATCTCAGCTCACTGCAACCTCTGCCTCTGGGGTTCAAGTGATTCTCCCGCCTGAGCCTCCTGAGTAACTGAGACTATAGGTGCCCACCACCATGCCCAGCTAATTTTTGTATTTTTAGTAGAGACAGGGTTTCACCATATTGGCCAGGCTGGCCTCAAACTCCTGACCTTGTGATCCGCCCGCCTCAGCCTTCCAAAGTGCTGGGATTATAGGCGTGAGCCACAGCACCAGGCCATGAGTGTAGTTCTAACATGAATGCTGGTGGATGTTTTTGTTTACTCTGAATGAACAGAAAGGAAACCATGAAGATGTGGAAACTTCATTCATTAGTCAATGTGAGTGACGGCACTGAATTAGATCAGCAATATTTTTGAATCAGATCTCCCAGTATTTTTGAATACTGGAAGAATATTTCCTCAATTCTACTCACAACCTAGCAGCCACAGACCCCCTTTTAAGTTTTATGACACACTTTTACATTTAATCTGTATCATTAACATTTCCTCTTCACCTTTTTAAGTATAGACAAGCAACAAAAAAGGAAGCCCTGATTTTTAGTGTTTGCCATTTTTGGTGGTGTGAATACTCCCGGCATGGCTGATTTCATGCCACCATTCGTGACATTACTGAACACAGTGAGGGGAAGAGAGGTGCATACATATCGTTTTGTAGGATTTTGACAATAGAGGTCTAATAGAAGAAAATAACTCTTAGAGAGTAGGGAATAGCAAAATGTAGCAAAATTATTTGAAAGAGATGTTTTGAGTATTTATGACCTTTATTTTTATTTTTTTATTTTTTTGAGATGGAGTTTCTCTCTTGTTGACCAGGCTGAAGTGCAATGGCCCAATCTCAGCTCACTGCAACCTCCACCTCCCAGGTTCCAGCAATTCTCCTGCCTCAGCCTCCTGAGTAACTGAGATTACAGGAATGCCCCACCATGCCCAGCTAATTATATATTTTTGGTAGAGACAGGGCTTCTCCATGTTGGTCAGGCTGGTCTCGAACTCCTCAGGTGACCTGCCCCCCTCAGCCTCCCAAAGTGCTGGGATTACAGGCGTGAGCCACTGTGGCCGGCATCACCTTTATTTTTAATGTAATTTAATTGAAATTTTATACAATAGTGTATTTAACAACCAGCCTGCAAAATCCTGAAAATTCATCAATCTGTTCCCATGTAGTACAAACTGGCTCCAGCACCCCACTACCGTCTGCATATCACTCACATTTAAGTGGAAAAGATTAGTTTTTTTTATAAAGTGCTGTGACACTTGCCTTGTAAAATGAAATTTATGGCCAGGCACGGTGGCTCATGCCTGTAATCTCAACACTTTGGGAGGCCAAGGCAGGTGGATCATGAGGTCAGGAGTTCAAGACCAGCCTGGCCAACATGGTGAAACCCTGTCTCTCCTAAAAATACAAAAATTAGCCAGGTGTGGCAGCGCGCACCTGTAATCCCAACTATTTGGGAGGTTGAGGCAGGAGAATTGCTTGAACCCAGGAGGCGGAAGTTGCAGTGAGCCGAGATCATGCCACTGCACTCCAGCCTGGGCAACAGAGCAAGACTCCATCTTGAAAAAATAATAATAAAATAAAATAAAATGAAACATATGAACAGGTGCTCAATATATGTATGTTAGATGAATGAATTTAGAAGAATATTTGTGCTAATCAAAGCATGCTCTTGATTTTTACAAAATCATACATCTGAATGTGGAATAACTGCATCTGAACTGGCAAATACTGTGCTTACTCTAATGAGCCTCTTTTCTCAGCTACAGTGTGGTTTTCCACCCTTCTAAAGACACAGCTTGAATTTTGAAACTAGGTCCCTGCAATTTGATCCTATCTTGTTTGACTTGGAAGAATAACTCATAACAAAGCTGATTTTTAAAATATTGGTAGGTTCCTTAAGACTCTGATTGTGATGTCTGCTCAGGTGAGCACCTGCTAATTAGCTAGCTGGGATCTGGTCCTTGGGGACTTGTCTCACCAGCTGCTTCAGATTGTTTACACTGTGAGACACTCACCTTTATCCCTGCAATTAATTAGGGGTGGAGCCTTTGTAGTCTTGCTTTTAATTCACAAATGACAAACACATTTCCCCTCAGCACGCTCCTCTCTGCAGTGTTATTCTGTAAGTGATCTGTTTGTGGGTTACAGAAGGCAAGCCTAGAGCTGTATTGAAGTCACTGCTTTGCAGGCACAGAATAAGGAAGCCAACCATCGGAGGAGCAGGGACCTATGGCACGACTGTTCTTTTGTCTTTCCTTTAGTCTCACTCACTCGAATAATTAATAAATAAGCACCAAGTGCCCACCTGGAATCTGAGCAGTGTGATTATTATTAATTTTTTTTTGGAAACAGAGTCTTGCCTTGTCACCCTGGAGTGCAGTGGCATGATCCCAGCTCCCTGAAGCCTCAACCTCCTAGGCTCAAGCAATCCTCCTGCCTCAGCCTTCTGAGTAGCTGGGCCTACAGGTGTGCACCCACCACACTTGGCTAATTTTTTGTATTTTTTTTATAGAGATGAAGTTTCGCCATCTTGCTTAGGCTGGTCTTGAACTCGTGGTCCAAGTGATCTGCCCTCCTCAGCCTCTCAAAAATACTGGAATTACAGGCATGAGTCACTATGCCAAGCTGTAAATTCTTAATATTTAAAAAACTACATTGACTTTTTCTTACAGAGACAAAGCATAATCATCACTGACTGTAGAAGACAGTAATGAAAAACAGATAAGACAAAAGAAAAAATCCATAATTCACTCTCAAAGATGTTCTCACTAAGTCTTCCAGACTTTTTAGTCTGTCTATAACATAAGGCTGCAAAATTGGGACCATACTTAATATAAGGATGTGGGTTTTTTAACTTAAAAACATATAATCAAAAAAATTACTTTAAAACTTTTAAAAAATGTATTTTAGCGATAAAGTCTTGTTCTGTCTCCCAGGCTGGAGTGCAGTGGAACTAACCTCTTACTTCCAGGTTCAAGCAATCCTGCCTCAGCCTCCTGAGTACCTGGGTCTGCAGGTGTGAGCCACTGAGACCTGTTAAGAGTTACTTTTAGTAAGGCTTTAACACTAGTTAGTCCAAGGAGGAGACAAAGGGGTAGATTCATTGTCTTGAAGGGAAATGAAGTGACCCTTTTTGTAATCCTGTCCACTCTGGAAAGGCAGTACTGCTGCCGAAGAAACGGAGTGGCTGCCGCAAGCCCTTCTGCGTAGCATACACTGTTCATGAAATGAGGTAATTGGAAGCCTTGGAATCTTGTCATTGTTTTCTTGTGGTGTCAATTGGATTAGATTCTTTAATTTTGGAAATTAGACTGTTGTTAATTAATACATATTTCTGTAGTTGCTTCCTTTAGCTTAGTGGTAAAAAAAAATTTTTTTTTTTTTTTTTTTAATGCAAGGTTGTGGTATTACCCGTGCTAAGAAGAAACAGAATAGAGCTTTAGCGGCAATACTGCCTTTAAAATTGAGGGAGCAACGATCTGGGACCCAGCCAGGAGAAGAGGCAGCAAGGTCAGAAGAGTTCTCTGAACAACTCTCCATCTAACGCTGGAGACCTGTAGGCATCGCAGCCTCCTTTTGTCTCTGAGAAAGTTGTGGAGATGCTAAGATTAGGTTCTGAGCTCAGCTGTTGATAAACAAATACATAGAGGCAGGCAGGCAGCCTGGGTGGGGTGGGAGTGGGCTCCTTCCGGGAAGCTGGAGAGCAGCAGGGAGGAGGCGTGCTCTCCCCTACTTCCCTTCACTGCCCTTCCCCTTGGGGTCATAGCCCACATCCACTATCACCTGTAGCCCAGGCTTCTCCCTCCTCTGAGCCACAGACACTCTTGGCCAGCTTCTTAGGTGGCAGTTCTACCTGATGTTCCCCGATCCCCTTCACATTGAATGACGAAGGGGAGCTCATTGCTACCCCACACCATCAACTCCCCTCCTGCTCCTCTTCCTGGGTCCTTGGGAACCGTGTTCTTACCCTTCAAGTCTGTGGGTCTCCTTTTTTTTTTTTTTTTTTTTTTAAACTCTCTCTATAGTCTGTCTCCACTGTCTGCCCCACTGCTACTGGCTTGGGTCAGGCCCTCATGATTTCTCACCTGTACTAGCACAATGTCCTCCTTTGAAGACAGTGTCCCGGCCCCTCATAATCATCCTTGTCCTGGTGAGCTGGCTACAGCCTTGCTACTGCACGTGGGGTCCCTGGACTGGCTGCTTCAGCATCGCCTGGAAACGTGTCAGGAATGAAGAATCACTGCCCCTATGTTCCCAATCAGTGAGGGTCCTGACTGAAGATGGAAAACCCCATTGATTTGAATAAGGAAAATTTGATATAACGAATGAGCAAATGGATAAATAAATTGTATCCACTTATGCAATGGAAACTTATTCAGGAAACAATATGAATGAATCCCAAGGGCATGATGCCAAATGAAACACTCAAGTCTCAAAAGGTTATAGGCAGTATGAGTCTATTTAGAGGACATTCAAGAAAAGGCAAAACTTTAGGACCAAGTTCAATGATTTCCAGGGGCCAGGAGGGAGAGGATTTTGTTACAAAGTGACAACATGAAGGAATTTTGGGGGTGTGGAAGTGCTGTGTATTCTCATTCTGAGGTTGGGTACACTTGTCTGCATTTGTATTAAAACTCATGGAACTGGCTGGGCGCAGTGGCTCACACCCGTAATTCCAGCACCGTGGGAGGCTGAGGTGGGCAGATCACCCGAGGTTGGGAGTTCGAGCCCAGCCTGACCAATATGGAGAAACCCCATCTCTACTAAAAATACAAAACTAGCCAGGTATGGTGGTGCATGCCTGTAGTCCCAGCTACTCGGGAGGCTGAGGAAGGAGGATCACTTGAACCCTGGAGGCAGAGGTTGTGGTGAGCCGAGATCGGGCCATTGTACTCCAGCCTGGGCAACAAGAGTAAAACTCTGTCAAAAAACAAACAAAAATTCATAGAACTGTACATCAAAGAAAGTCAAGTGGACTACATGTAAATTAAAAATAAATAAGTATAGTAATGCATTATTAACCATTGAATAAAATCAGAAACCATGAATTCATATTGATAAAACTAAGCAAATATAAAATATCTTACCCCAAACATTACAAAGTAGGGGAATATTAAGGTTACAGTGGAGAAACCTGGCCAACCCACTTTAATAGAGTGACTAAAGGTAACGTCATCAGTAACGTACTAAGTAGAATCATTTGCCATCCAGTGAGATGCAACATGAAGATCACAGTCAGGGCAAGCTTCATGGACTTCCACGGTAGCACAGGAGCCAGTGCTCAGAGGGGCATATGCTTAGTTTAATGCTCTGCTGTTGTTTTCTTGAAATTCTTTTTTTTTTTTTTGAGACAAATTCTTGCCCTGCCGCCTAGGCAGGAGTACAATGGTGTGATCTCGGCTCACTGCAACCTCCGCCTCCTGGGTTCAAGCAATTCTCCTGCCTCAGCCTCCTGAGTAGCTGAGATTACAGGTGCATGCCACCACACCCGGCTTATTTTTGTATTTTAGTAGAGATGGGGTTTCACCATGTTGGCCAGCCTGGTCTCAAACTCCTGACCTCAAGATCCACCCTCCTCAGCCTCCCAAAGTGCTGGGATTACAGGCGAGAGCCACCGTGCCCGGCCTGAAATTCTTAATTGTTTAATGAGGGGTCAGTCTACATTTTCATTTTGCAGTGACCCCTACGTGTATGTAGCTGGTTCTGAACACAGTATCCTTTCTGTGATTTTCCTGCCATAGATGTATAACCTGAATTTGATCATGGCGAAACATCAGCCGAAGCCAAATTAATGGGCGTTTTACAAAATCAGTTGCTTGGACTCTTCACAACTATCAAACTCATGAACGTCACTGAAAGACCGAGGAGCTGTTTCAAGTTGGAGGATGCTAAGGTAACATGACAAGAAACTGCAATGCAGGTTTCTGTATTGGGTCCTTTGGCAACAAAAAGTGTTGTTGGGACAACTCATGAAACTTGACTGGGGTCTGAAGATGAGGTAGCAGGAATGTACCGGAGTCAACTTTCCTATCCTGATGGTTGAATTGTGATTATGTAGGAGAATGTCCTTGTTTGTAGAACGTCCAAACTTAAATATTTAAGGGTGTTGAGGCATCACGCGGGTGTCTTACACTCTAATTGTTCAGGGCAGACATTCTTTGTGTTCTTTTTGCAACTTTTCATGAAGTTTGAGGTTATTTCAAATAAGAAAGAGTGATGGGGAGGGAACAGAGTGATGGGGGAGAGGGAAGCCTTCTCTAATAAGGTGACATTTGACCAAGACCTGAATGAAGTGAAGGAGCAAGTCACTGAGTGTCTGTAGGAAGAACATTCCGGGCAGAGGGAGCAGAATGGCACCAGGTCTGTGAGGAGGACATATGCCTGAAGTGTTTTGAGAAATAGCCAGGAGGCGGGGGGGCTCATGCAGAGACCCGGAATGAGAACGTGGTAGCAGGTGAGGTCAGGGAGGTAACAGGGACCAGATCGAGTCCCAGCGAGGATGTTTGGCTTTGTTCTCTGTGCTGGGAGACATTGGAGTGTTGGTCAGAGGAGCAACATGACACAACTTGTATTTTACAAGGATCACTGTGGCTGCTGTGTGGAAAATAGACGGCGGAGAGGCAGGGGTGGAAGCAAGGACACCAGTTGGAAGACTAGGGGAATAATTCACTTTCTGGTGGATAACAGGGCTGCAGAAACCTTCAGAAAGGCTGTGAAGAGCCACTGCCGGCCCACAGCACAGAGCACTGGGCTCTGCCCCAGCGGCAGTGATGGCATCTGACCACGTCTGCATCCTATGCCCGTCTTCCCCTGGAGGCCTACCAAGAGGTGTCTGTCACAGAAGCTGCTCATGAAGGGGCAGTTCTGATCATGACTTGCTAGGAAGGTTGAAGAGCCAGCTGGTTACATTGTTAATCAAATTTTTCTTTATTTGGCACAATGCTAAAGTGTCTTTTTAAATGAGTGATCATAGAACCAAAGACAAGCTCAGGGAGAAATATAGTAACTGTCAGATCTTGTCTTATTGCCTGGAGCTGCCTGGCGACTCCAAACATTTTTGTGTGCAAAGTTTGCCTTGTCAAGGCCCTTGAATGAAAGGGTCTTGAGGTTTTATCTGATCCCACCCAACAACTAAGAAAAAATTTGAGCATTGACCTCTGATTTTTGGACCCAGAGGGACCTTAGTGAAAAATGATTCCAGTCCCCTCTTTTCCTGGATCTATCAGATGAGTGATAATTTAAAATTTAGTTGGTTTTGTTTTGCTCCAAACTTATCCTCGTGAAGTTCCAATGATGGAGAAAGATTTGGACTTAGGTGCTAGGAGTTGTGTTCAACTTTCTTCTTGGAACATCCAGTAAAAGTCTCAAGGATATATCTAAAAGACAATTTCATATCTTTTTTATGTTTGGACAAGAATGATGCTTTAATCTATTATACGATTCTTTTCAAACACAAATATATGCTTATGGTATGCTATGTAAAACACACATTTTAAAAATCCAAGAGCAGGCTTACACTTGAAGAGAACATTTAAAAAATGTTTCTTCCCTGACTTTAATAAATGCATATCTATTGTAAAGTGCATTTCCATTGTCATTCTAAGCCTATGAGATAGTTAATCCCCCATGTACAAAGCAGAGACCCAGCTTGGTTAGAGGATGATTTGCTTTAGGTTGGAGACAAAGCCAGTGACCTTGGCAATGAATCAGCTAGTTAGAGTTGAGTGATTTGCAGGTCAGCACACAAGAGCTCTGATCACTGATTTTGTTGGCTTGATAGTGACTGAACTGGTTCTTATTCAGCCCACAGTACCTGTTCTTAAATTCACTGAGAAGGGTGGTTTATGTTCAAATTTTGTTTGTAGAGATTTATACCATTTAGAGAGT